CGCCCCCCCAGGAGGTGGGAGTTTCCCGTCCTGTGTGGTCACTGTCCGGGGAGCCGAGCACGTGAACAGCCCCGGGGCGGGGGGGGGGGAACCCTGGTTGTCAGCGCGCGTGGGAGCAGGAGAAATGGGGAGATAGGGGAGGTGGGCAGGGCACCTCCTGCAACCCGGCGCGGGGATCCGCAGGGGGTTTATTCGGAGAACTATGTGCATTCAGGGGATCCCTTCTGTTCGACCCCAGCGATAGGAAAGTGGGGGGTTTTTAAGGGCATTTGCGATCGCTGCGGCTCACAGGGGTCTGCGGGAGAGCCCTCGGGGAACAGAGCCTCGCTGATACCGGGTTTTCTCTTCTTTCTTTCTGTTTAAACGGGTTCAGTGTTAGCTGTATTTTGGTGCCCTGAGCTTTGCAAGGGTTTTTTGTTGTTGTTGTTTGTTTGTTGTTTTGTTTTTTAGTTGAAAACTTAAATTCCCAAATCGAGATGTCCCGGTTTTCAGGGATGGGATGCTTCCTGTGGCTGCACTTAGCCTCCTTCTGGGGGTTCTTTGGTATGGAAGTTGGGATGCTAATGACCCTGCCCCCCTCCCCCCCCGCCCCGGGGGGGGGGGGGGGGGGGGGGGAGGTCCTCTCTGAGAGGCCCCCTGAGCTTGGAGGTTAGGGAGGTGCTTTCCTTGGGCCCTGGGTACTGTCTAGAGAAGCCACGTATGGCTTTGGGGCACGGAAGGCTGGACACCTGCGCCCAGGTTCCCTGTGCAGAGGGTGGATTCCTTCCGTCCATATCCGGCCCCCAGACAATTCCAGGGTACAAAGTCAGAAGGCCTGATCTGAGCCCTGGGGGGTAGGTGGCCTCTTTCTAGACGCCCTGTCTCTGTCCCAGGTAAATAATTCTGTATGTAATCCAACATGGAACTTGGGGTTAGGACTTAGAAAATTCCACCCATAGCTTGCCTGTCATATGGGAGCACTCAGGCCACTTCATAACCTGGCAGGCACCGGCCCCAGCAGCCCGGGCTGTGTTCTGAATTGCGGATGGCAGGTTGGGAGAAGGACTGCAGAAACCCCGAGGCCCGCAGGGACCAGAGCAGCCTGCAGGACTGCCCCTGCTGGGTCACTTGCAGGAAGAGAGCCGGGACCGTGTGCTGGACGGAAGAAACACACCCGCCTTCGGGGGAGGAGACGTTGGCAGGGCCACCTGCCACAGAGGTGATGCCGGAGCGGTCTCTTTGTTGCAGACAGTGACGAACACCTTCCGTGCGGCCAACGTCCAGATCCAGAGCCAGGACCAGAGGCTGCTGACCCTGTGGCTGGACAAGGACCATCGGCGCACTTTCAGGGATGTGGTCAGGTGAGGCTGGGCCCGCCACCTCCTGGGCTGCGTGCCCCACCAGGCAGACCTAGCAGAAGCCAGTCCCTCCCATCCCCCAGCCCCCGCCTCCAGCCTTGCCAGAGGCAGATCCTGAGGCCGGGCAGGTGTTCCTGGTGGGTGTGAACTTGGGCCGCTGCCCTGTGACTTGAATCCAGGAAGAAGGGCAAATGCACGGCTGATCCCGAGCAGCCGAGATTGCCATGAACCTGCAGCTGCAGCCCTCCTGACCCAATGCCCGGTACTGGCACTGCCCCCTGCAACACAAGCTGCCCTACGGTGGCAGCTGTGCCCAGTTCCTGTGACCCTTGTTGGGTAAGGACGGTAGACACAGTGACCCATCCAGCCATGTTCTCCTCTCCCAGTGTTCGCCCTCGGCCAGGGGGCTCTTTCTTCTCCTGATGCTCCCTCCTCCCTCTATGGGGCCCCCTCCTCTATACCCTTTAACCCCTGAGATTTGAACCCTGAGATCGGTCTCCTGAGCTGGTCTGTCTCCACTCACAGATTCGAGGTTGCCCCCTGCCCAGAGCCATGTTCCGGGGTCCAGAAGTCCAAGGCGCTATGGCTCAGTTCACACCAGCAGAAGGAGGTGGAAGGGACCAAAGCCAAGCCCAAGCCCCTTCTCATGCCCATCAACACGTTCTCCGGCATCGTCCAGTGAGCCCGAAGGGGCAGTGGATACACTGAGTCCGAGAGCTGCTGGCCCACGAGGAAGGACACACTACCCACCAGTCCAAATACTCACACCCATGGCCGGAGCAAGGCCAGGCTGCCCTGGACTGGCCCCAACGAGGAGCCAGCGAGTGCCTGGAGCACAAGGAGGCTGGTCGTGAGGTTGACGGAGGCCACGCGAAGGCCCCAGGATGCCCAGGCAAAGCTGCGCACACACAAGCCCAGCTCCTGGCACAGCTGTCCGCTCCTTCCAATTCCCACCTCTCCCACTCATGCTCCCGCCCAGCCCTTAAAACCACAGTGACAGCTGCTGTTTTGGTCAGGGCCCGCGTACTGGGGGAAAATGGGAAGTAGACAAAGGCAACTACACCTCCTCTGCCTCCCACGTCTGCTCCCTTCCCTTGCCTCTGCCCACCTCACCCACCCCCGGGCGTCTCTCTCGGTTGAGAGGAAAGTGTCAGACTCAATAAATGCACACTAAAGTGTTTCTGCTTTTATCTAACACCGGCAATATTCCTATTTTAATGGGGACTGGGGGCAGGACTACCCTGTGAATCCACTTGGGCCAGGTAGTGTCTGCCTGGCCACACGTTGACGTAGGGACTCCCAAAACAGAGGTGGGAATGCAGGCTAGTTTCAGAGAAACCAGAGATTAGAGACAGTAAAATGCTTGGCTCTTGAGTTCAAAAACTCACACTCACGGTAAAATAGGGAAGATCAGTGGCCCAGAAACAGTTCCCTCACCCCCAGGACTAGCTGTGGGTGGGGGAGAAAGGAATACAGAGAACATAAAGGTGAGGCTTGAGCCCATCCCGTCAGCTTGCAATGAAAGCAAGCTGTAGACCAAACCCTGCCACACATACACCCCCACCCCAACTCCCTCTCACCCCAACCAAATTCGGCGCTGTGAGCAAACCTGTCTCTGGAGGTAGCTGGTTAAGTAAATGTTGGCTAACCTCCTCTGGAGTGTGTACTCCCGAGTTGGATGTCCTAGGTGTAGATTAGAACTAACTCCTTCTGGGTCTAGATGGACCCCGGATGGGGTGTGGAGTGCCCTCAGCTGCCAGCCCTCTCTGGGGGTGGTCCCAACTGAAGAGGATGGTGTCACCCAGCCATGCCCCTTCCAGGGGGCACCCACGTCCCATGAAGCAGCTCTGAGCCCTGGGGACAAAAATAGCTGCCTTCTGAGGCTCTGATTGGACGGAGGCAAGTGATAAACAAGATAACAGTGACAAAGAGCCCCATCGATTGTATGCTGGACAGTAGCTGCTGGGGAGAAAAATAAAGCGAGTGGGGTTGGTATTTTAGTGAGTGTGGCCTTAGGCAGTAACAGGGTGGTCCTGGCCTTTGAGTAAATCCTGAAGATGAGGAAGGAATTAGACTTCTATATTTACTCTCCGCCTCCCGGATAGTTTCACTCGCCTGAAGCAGTTCAGGGGTCAAACTCAGGCTCCTGAGAGACTGAGAGACACTGAACAGTGGGAGTCGTGGGGCTCAGCTTGGAGCGCAGCACCTGTACACGCAGCAGGTGCAGGGGAGAGCCAGCAGTGTCCGGCCCAGGAGGACAGGGACATGGCAGGTGCGGGGAGAGCCAGCAGTGTCCGGCCCAGGAGGACAGGGACATGGCAGGTGCGGGGAGAGCCAGCAGTGTCCGGCCCAGGAGGACAGGGACATGGCAGGTGCGGGGAGAGCCAGCAGTGTCCGGCCCAGGAGGACAGGGACATGGCAGGTGCGGGGAGAGCCAGCAGTGTCCGGCCCAGGAGGACAGGGACATGGCAGGTGCGGGGAGAGCCAGCAGTGTCCGGCCCAGGAGGACAGGGACATGGCAGGTGCGGGGAGAGCCAGCAGTGTCCGGCCCAGGAGGACAGGGACATGGCAGGTGCGGGGAGAGCCAGCAGTGTCCGGCCCAGGAGGACAGGGACATGGCAGGTGCGGGGAGAGCCAGCAGTGTCCGGCCCAGGAGGACAGGGACATGGCAGGTGCGGGGAGAGCCAGCAGTGTCCGGCCCAGGAGGACAGGGACATGGCAGGTGCGGGGAGAGCCAGCAGTGTCCGGCCCAGGAGGACAGGGACATGGCAGGTGCGGGGAGAGCCAGCAGTGTCCGGCCCAGGAGGACAGGGACATGGCAGGTGCGGGGAGAGCCAGCAGTGCCCGGCCCAGGAGGACAGGAGGCGGCAGGTGCGGGGGGTGGGGGAGAGCCAGCAGTGTCCGGCCCAGGAGGACAGGAGGCGG